TCCATAGGGAGTTGCTATGCTAAATTTCATTGCAAAAGCTCAAAGGGTTCTCGAGATATCGTGTGGAAACGAAAGCGTTACAGACAGACAGAAAGACGGACGGACGGACAAACCCAAATTAATATCCCCCACTTTTCAAGCGGGGGACAACTATACACTTAGCATGTTTAGTTTGGTTACCTAATACCCATAGACAGAGTAGTGGAACAAAAAAATGCATTTTGACTAATCAGTAATATTCAGCAATAATCAGTATAGTGCCACTACCACACATGAACCCCTGACCCTTGGTCCACACTTTTCACAATTTTGGAAAAGGCACTCTTGCTTATCAAAAATATTTGATTAATACATGTACAAAGGAGAAGATTTCAATCAATTAATTCCATTTCCAGTATATGAGTAGAGCCCCCCCCCCCCCCCCCCATGGTACCCCTTACCCAGAGGCGTTGAAATTTAAAATTCAGGAAGAATGGCCCTTGCTCATCATAGCTATATAGGTATTTCATCTGCTTAATACCCAGGAGCAGAGAAGAAGATTTTCAAACAATTTCTGCATTTTCTCTATATAACCAATAGAGCCCCGCCCTAACAACAGAACCCCTGACCCTGGGGTCATAAAATTCACAATAGCATTCTTCCTCATCATGACTATGTACTTAGTTAGTTTATTTAATACCCAGGAACAGAGAAAAAGATTTTTAAAGAAATAATGTATTTTCACTATACAATCAATCGAGCCCTACCCTAAGACCAGAACCCCTGACCCTGGGGCCATAAAAATTCACAATTTTGGAAGAGGCATTCATGCTCATCATAACTACATACTACGTTAGTTTATTTGATACCCAGCAGCAGAGAAGAAGATTTTCAAACAATTTCTGCATTTTCTCTATATAACCAATAGAGCCCCGCCTAACACCAGAACCCCTGACCCTGGGGCCATAAAAATTCACAATTTTGGAAGAAGCATTCTTGCTCATCGTAACTATTTACTTAATTAATTCTTTGGATACCCAGCAGCAAAGAAGAAGATTTTCAGACAATTTCTGCATTTTTAAAGAAATAATGCATTTTCACTATATAATCAATAGAGCCCACCCTAGCACTAGAACCCCTGACCCTGGGGCCATGAATTTAACAATTTTGGTAGAGGACTAGAAATGGTCATTCAATTCATGTTAACAGTTTGACTTTTCTAAAGATTGCACTAATTTTAGTGGTTTTGGTTTTGGCCCCACCCCTCAGGCCCCAGGGGGACAGGGACCATGGAATTCACAATTTTTGTTCCCCTCACCAATAGATGCTTTGTGTAAGAGCTTCATATTAGTCTTCTGTCGACTCTTGCTCTGGATTATTTAGACCCCAGAGTGAGGGGTGGCGTGGATAAAAGAAGGTTCCTGCTAAACTGTAGAAATTATCTGACGACCCCCAGAGAGCGTTCGATTGACGATGTTGTGGAAGTGTTCGATCTTCTAGAATCCAAAGGACTCCTCGCTCCCGGAGGTTATACGATTCTTAGAGAACTGGTGCAAAACATAGGAGTGGATCTAGTGAGAGAAATTGACCAGACAGAGGCGCAAATGGGTCTAAATCTGGGTGACAGGACTGTACGTTCAGCAATGCCTGTCGCACCAGGAAATCGTATGTACTAGTCACTACACTGTAGTGCATCAAACAATAATTTTGGAATTTTTAAGCACTGGGCTCAATCTTTTATAAGCATGATATTTCTTTTCAAGTTGGTAATTAAGGAAATTATATAAGGGTAAATCGCCCTTACTTCGTGAAAATACAAAGGAATTAGACCATATGACAAAAAATAAGTTTTTAAAAAAGAGCGTTGCAGTTTTAAATAGCTGTATCTTATAGAGATTTTTATTTGTCATTTTAGATGTGTACAATACATATAACATCAACAATATTGAGGCGAGAAACGGTGTAATCTCCATCGCTAATTCCGACCACGCAACTGTTGTGCGGAACACATGAAGACAATTTCATTAAAATGAAAACATTCTCTTACTGAAGACGATTTTAAATAGAAGAAATAACAGTTAATTCATCTTTATTGATGAACTGGTAGATTTGCCTTGCTTATAGTTTTAATTATGCGTTGCTTTTTTTGTTTTGGGCACAGAAGATTGTACTAGTACTTATCATCATCAGTATGACCAATACTCATCACTAGTATTTATTATTTAACATCGTCTCTTTGTAGAGATATTGACTTTAATATACATGTACAATATTCTAATGTTCATATACGTATGTAAAGACGTATGTATTAGAAGTATATATTGAGCAATAAATGATTTTGTCGTAATAAATGTGTACATATTTCACTATCATCTATGTTGCAATACTTTTATAACGAAGAATTACATTTTAAGAGTGCATGTAAGCTGATCACTAATTTTGAAGCATCATTGGTAGTATGCTGCTTTAGTACGCGTAAAATACATGATGTGGAATTGAAGTAAAATATTAATTTGATCTTTGATAATACCCAGTACTAGTAATAGTAATACATGGATATCTATGAGGAGGATCTTTTTTTTCTACAAGGGAATCTAAGTGCTCTTAAGTTTTCGAGAAATATTTAACAAAAAATATAGGTCATCTTATTGTCATACTTAATACGAATCTCATACCCCCCCCCCAAAAAAAATGTGCATTTTGACATTATGTTTATTGCCCGAATGTAACATTTAGGTAATATTTTGTAAGTGTCTGTAGGATTTGCAGCTGCCTTGGAATATATATGCCCCAAAATCTCTTCCAACACAATCAGTAACATAGATCAGAGGCGAAGTCAAGTAGGGAAGGGGGGGCAAAAACCAAGAAATACGTGTGAAGAAAGTTGTCAAACGCGCATAATATCAAGCCCTTGTCTAAATGAATGAGAACTTTCTATGACATATATAGTGATAAAGATTAGTATTTAAGCTCGAAAGTCCCTTCAATCTATACAAATCTGGAGCAGGGAAAAACCGGACCTCTAAAACATCAGAAGTGGGATCAGATGCTATGGAGTATTGAGTATCCCCTGTCGACCGGTCACACCCGCCATCTGCTCCTTGTCCTGATTGAGAAATAACTGAAAAAATCTGTCGACAGTTATATGTGTAAATAATGGTCTAACCATTAGTATCAAAAACGTCATTCAATATTATGACTGAAAGATAGATTGCATTTCCCGACATGGTCATTGTATTGACCATAGAATTACGAAACGAGACTGTTGATATTCTTGTTTCATCAACTTGTTTGTCAATAAATTACCTCGATTTAGAATATGTTCATGTGAATCAGCTGACACTGAAATAAAAACCCCATATATGCAGACGATAAGGGTATATATTGCTGCACATCCATGCCATGAGTCAAGACGTTGACATTGAACAAACGGCAAAATGTTGACTCAGGACCTTGTACTATGAGAAAGATTGCTACATAAGTAAGTGAACTTGACTATTCGTTTTCAAAAAAACGTGACATTAAAGTCTTTTTCTAGAAAAAAAAATATCCAAATATGAAACAGAGATTTGTCGACTCTTTGGTATCTTTTATTTCCAGCTCATTCATAGTCGACCGATACATCTAAATGTCGAGTTGAAGGCCATAGCATTTGAGTGTTTTCTTCTTCAAGTTGATGACATAATTCATCACAGATACGTGTATGGCAAAATAATTGATCTACATTTAGGAAAATAAAATGTCGGGGACACAGACATAAACGTAGATTATATAGTTATACTATCTAAAAGTGGAGGGGGCGGGGACTAGTAGACTAAGTTACTACTCCAACTACCCTCCCTCCCCATTGGCTGATCCAGATGGGGGGGGGGGGTTCCGGGGGTTGGAACCCCCCCTTTATTTTTTGCCAAGTGGAGAAAGAGAGAGAAAGAAGGGGGATAAAACGTTTCCCGAGAATAAGTATTTGTACGTCTGACTTAAATATGTATTGAACAGATAGATTCTCACACATTTAGTTTTTCCATTCACCTTCACTATTACTTTTTCTGAGTGAATGGTAGAAAATATTCTACTTATTTTTATATATCTAATATATGATATGTAACATGTGAGGTTAAGTTTGATATTAGATTCCCGCGATCTTAATTTGACTGTGTTGGCTATATACAAGAAGGTGCCGTTTTTTTTAACTAAATCTTATGAAGGAACTAAAATTTAATTCATTGTTTTATACCCAACCCAAAAAGGATTTTTAAATTCTTTAAGAAAAGTCATTCTACTCTTCGGAAATGCTGCAAATCCACTCAATTTTAAGGCTTCAGTAGTTTTTTAAATGTGTTAATTTTTTTTTTTTATACGGACTGGGGGTACCTTTTCAAAGAAAAAAGGACGTAGAACAAAGATATTATTTTTCACAATCTTATATTTTTCCATACATCTTTGCCTGAGAGTGTGTAAGGGGGGGGGGGAGTTAGAGGGACACAACCCTGGACCCCCCCCTTCAAAAATTGCTGGATCCGCCCCTGCTCCCCCACATTAATGTGTACACCATAGGCACCTGACGAATTGAAGGTGTACCCCCACCCAACCCCCGGTTTCTGAGAATTTTTATTAGGCTCTTATTTTATGAGATTTAAGCAAGTACATGAAGTATAAAATAGAAAGAATTTGGCAATAAATTGAAGATTAAATGAACGTTTTAAAGTGCGTGAAAATGCGTGATTGCGGGGAAACGGTACATGTGTGATTTTGCATTAGAAATAGGAAATGTGTTGAAGTGCGTGACTGCGGGGAAGGGGGTTAAAAATACATGATTTCAATAGTCTATCATTATTATATTTCGATATCTGATATCATTTTCCGCTTTTGTAAAGATTTAAAGATAAGTCTTATACGGTATTAATATACACTGTACATAAATAAATATAAATGGGGGTACACCATTCTTCAGACACAGCTGTCGAATAATTTAAAATTATCAGAGGTGGATTTTCCCCAGTTAAAAATAGTACATGTATCATATTTGCATGGACGCCATTGAATAGATCTCTTGAACAAAGACGTGAATAAGTAAGTATAATTTTCTATTTACAAGCAATAATTTAATTTCAGTTTATCAACTTATCAGTCCTATACTTACTGAAACAAAATTTAAAGCTACAATCCAATCAAACCCTAAAAATGTAAATAAATAATGTTTGCTTCTACTTTCGTTTTGTTCTTATTTTTCAGTAACAAAGAATGTTCTTTTTGAAAGAAAAGTTTGTGAATGGCAAACATTTTGATAAGAACTGTACTTATTTATCGACTTTTTATGGTGGCATATTTATGCCATCCACATAACTTTTTGTCAAGATAAGATATCACGTTCAAGTCTAGATAACTACCGCGTCAAGTCATGAAACTTTCTGGTTTGTCATCAAACACCGACTTTTATCTTGTCCAGTCAAGATAAGCTATCGTATTCTTGCGATAGCTATCTTGCCAAAACGAGATCATTTATCTTGTATCGCGATTAAAAGTTATCTCGTCATGTCAAGATAGCTATTGCAATAAAACGTGATAGATTATCTTGACTTGGCAAGAGAGAAATCCGGTGTTTGTCGACAAACCAGAAAGTTATCATAACTTGACAAGATAGTTATCTTGACTTGACATGATATGCTATGTTGACAAAAAATTATGTGGATGGCATAAATATGCCACCATAACTTTTTCAATGAAACCAGAGTATAAAATCAGATTGGGTTGGTTGCAGGATTTTCACATCAATATTACTGGGGGTAGGGGGGTGGGGGGGGGGTTATAACTATTGAAACTGGATTGTTACCACTTGCATATCTTACTATAGATCAATATACTCAGCATTTCAAGAAGTCACATGTTTTGAAAGGTATATATTACATAGAAATATAAATTCAAACAGTGAAACAAGTGAAATTTCTGTTAAATTAATACATAGCAATTTAAAATCTACAGGATTCATCAATAAATTTATGCATAGCAGCAAAATGTACATACGTGTTAGTTTGTAAAGGTAAATTTACATCACCACAAAATAAAACTAGTATCAGATACATCTTGTTTGTAAATATTTCAGATAGCTATAAGCTTGTGCTTTATGTTTTCCGAGGTAAAAAGTATCTCAAATTTGACGAAGTTCCACCAGAATTGAGAAAATTGGGAAAACAGTCTATTTTTGCACCCTCTCGTGGCCTCCATGTACGCTTTGAATCAGTCTGATTAAAACCAGCCCCCTTCTCCTTTCACTCGTCGAGTGAAAGGAGAAGGGGGCTGGTTTTAATCAGACTGGCTTTGAATCAAAATTAGTCACGGATGGTTTTAAAACAAACATCGTTTTTTAAAATTCTTAACTTTAAACTTTCACAGGTTGAACTGTGTTCTTATTTTTACTTCAAATAAAGGCCCAGATCCAGCGATTACCATACCTTGTCCTTTAATGTGCTCGTTCACTATACGAGTATTCTTTTACTTCACAAATTGATTCTGAAATTGGAATTATTACAGAAATCAAACATATTTTTATTATTTTCAGTAATCGGCAATGCCTGTAGACAAAGAGAAAATGAAAGAACTCCACATTAATCTCATATCATCCATAGCCTTAGACTATCTCGACCCCTCAGTTAATAGTGGATACGACCACCAGAGGTTTTTGTTGAACTGCAGACGGTATCTGAAAACGCCACGAGAACAATCTATAAGAGATGTTGTCAAAGTATTGGATTGTTTTGAACAGAAAGGTCTGATGTCTCCAGGAAACTATAAAGTCTTAAAAGATGTGGTAAAAGACGTTAATGTGCAAATTGTTGAACTAATAAAAGACACAGAAAGAAATATGGGCATTTCTGGGTGTGAAGGAGACTTTGAGAGTGATGACGAAAAGTCAGACGACAGTAAACGCAGAAAAGACAAGGACAACAAAGCGTCCCAGGGTGGAAAAGAATCTTTTAAAACAGACGGTGTCTCACGTAAGATATACTAGTACTGTAAAATCACAAATTTTCGTGGAGGCATATTTTCGAGGCTTGAGAAAAAATTATTGATATGTGGGGGTTTGATTTCGTGATTGATGAAGTTTTGAGTAGTAATGCAATTTTCAAAACATTTCGTTGTGGTCTTGAATTGGTGGATATCCCCATACCTCGAAAACGAGGGAAAAAACCTCACGAAAAAGAGTGGTTTCACAGTAGTCTTTTTTAATGATTAAAAAACTTCACTGCCTATCAATAGCATACAATCTTATTTAATAAATTGTTTACAATTTCAGATGTTTACAACACATACAATTTTGGGGATATCAACGCTGGAGGAGGAATAATTGCCTTCGGGAATACAGGAAATGCAAGGATTAAACAGACGAAATGAAATTTGAACTTTTATAAATTTTCAAAAAGAGTATCAAACTTACAGATATGGTTTATTCCAATGCTTCATTTTGAGTCATTAGATAACCGGGATAACTCAGGGTCATTGTTTGAGTCTCTTCAGTTTTATTGTGTAAAATCTGTTCCAATTCTTTAAAACAGTTCTTTCCATGATGTTCAAAAATGAAAATTTGGCTATGTGTGAGAATTTGCCTAATGATTTTGAGGAACAAGCCATTAGACCTTGTATCTTACAATCACAGTTTAGGAGGCTAGGGGGTCAACAAATTATTTTTTATTAACCACCAGATATAACTTAAATTTTGGGATATGATATCTTAAGCTGTCAACTATCATTTGGCAAAGAAAAATTTCATAAATTTTAGTTTTAAAATTTGATCATTTTATTATATCTTTATATGGAGTTCTTCTTCTAAAGGAGATCAAAATGGTCTAAAAGTGGCCACGACCACCCAGCCTCTTTAATCTTTAAGTGTACTTTACACTGTATATTGACGCAACAACAACAAAAAACTGTATTTAATTAATTGTGTGCGTTTTATTTGAATGCCTCTCTGATATGTTCATTTATTTAAACGTTGATTAATAGATTGATTGTATGTTGTGTATGTTGTTTTACGTCTTATTTGAGAATTTTCTTTCATGTCGAGACGTCACTTTATACCGGTAAAGGGCTTCAAATTCAAACGTTTACTCCACACTCAGGGCCATTAAAAGTGAGGGCTGTTTATCGTGTCAACGGCTACCGTGACACGAGACCTCAGCTTTTAAGATGGGAAAGTTGGTCTATAAATTTCAGATAATACTCTCTGTCCAAATATTTTCACTACCGGTATTTTAGAGTAAAATTGTAAGTAGATTAGGTGGTCTGAAAGTTATCTGTCTTTGTTTGAAAATGCCCTGTGTTCTTAAAATTAATACTAAGTATTATGATAATTATTAATTATTTATTCCTCAGTTTTTGTTTTTACGAAAAGTCCATTGTACTTGTTATAAAATTGTGTATGGTTGGTTGTATATGCGGGATAAGTGTAGGTATTTTTTATTTTGAAAATTTTACTTATAATTTTGGAGCAATATATGTGACTCCAAAGGAAAAAGATATAAAACGTAGAAATTCTAAATGAAAGAGTGGAAATAGAAAAAAAAATGAATGTTGAGTTAAAGCCAAAGCAAGATTAGTGTACATGTATATTTCTTCTTCCTGTAATTTCTTTTAATAAATTCTGCTTCATATGGATACAAAAATAATCCTGCTCAATATCCACATCTGATTTACTTCTTAAATACATTGGTGTGAATAGTCCACCAAACGCCCTGACAACTGGGTTTAAAATATCAAAGAAAACCTTTAAAATATGGACTTTTACTTTATCTGTTTTGAAGAAGAGAAAAATTGATTGATAAGTATTTTCATATCATCAAACAAAGAATAGTAGATAATTTCATACAGAAACACATAGCTAATAATAATTGTTGAAGCAAAATGGATTCACACAGACATATTGTAGATTATTTAATCTTATAATATCAATACAAGTCCCCTTCCGCCAAGTGTAATCTGGATCCGATCAGAAACTGAAAATGTCGTCATTCAACCAAAAAAAAAAAAATAATTGAAGCGGAACAAAATGCAGTTGTTGTATATAACTCATCAAGGTAGACTCACACGCCAAAAATTAGCTTAATATATCTATCGGCAAGCATTTGGGGGAAAAGTACGGAAAAGCCATTAAAACTTGAAAAGACTATAATTTTGTCAAAATTCACAGAAGCGGAACGAATTCCAAACTAGGCAAGCTATTATACATGTATACAGTTTTGAGGACAAATGGCCAACCAGTGAAGAGCAAATGAGTTGTCCTGATGGAGAGCCAATAATTAAGATACAAACCAACGTTGGCCCAAAAATGATGTCCGCTTAAAATTAAACAGGTCGAGATCACTACCTTATATGGAAGGCAATTTTCAAGACGTGATGATGTCTTTGCCACACCCGTTCACATTCAAGTGAATGAGTCCCAAAGCATGACCTCTCTACTACGTGTTTACGATTCAATGCCGACACGTGGTTTTCGTCGGTTCACTGCACATTATTAAACTCGTCACCGGAAAATCTGTAGAGCTTCTTTATCACTTTATAACACCGAAATTGAAAGATTACTAGTATATTCTAGAATAAAGACATTGCTCCATGCTCACATTTGATATTGGAGTTGTTTTAGATGATTCATAGTTGCTTCGAATACGTACAAACGATTTGTACATAAAATAGTATTGAGGGATTAAATAATAATTGCACACCTTCTCCTGCTGTCTAAAACTAAGGACCTATATACTTCCAGCTAAAACAATGTACACGTATATCGCGTGAAAAAAAAATCAACGTTTTATCGACACGATACATGTAGCACATGTCTACGTCTCTTTGAACAATGGCTAAGGCCGATGTATTATAAGTTGATATAAGGCTTTATAAAGCAAATTTTGTAAATGTGAGCATAGAAATGAAAGATTATACATCATTTTAAATATTTCTTCCACAAATCTCAAAAAAGAATTGAAGATAAGTTTCCAAGGGACAATTCAAGTTGCCCTTTATTTTCAACACAGTTGAGTACTTGTAGTAGCCCACAATGCATTGCGACTCATTCATCAGTGGGTAAAGTAAACAGATAGCTAATTTACATGCAAATTTAATCTGACGTCCGAAAATATAGTGGTCTCGACCTGTTAAAAGAATAAGTGGTCCAACAATGGCTCAATAATATCCGTTCGTTGGTCCAACAGTAAGCCAACAAGTTGGTCCAATTAAGGACCGTTGGCCCAACATTAATTGCTTACAATAGCCCATTTGTACAAAAATGACGTTTGCCCAATATTGAAAGAATACATTGGCCCAACAATAAGCCAACAAGTTGGTGTGATAAAGTGCCGATGAGCAAATTACCGTTGGCCCAACATTAATTGCTTGCAATGGCCCAACTGTATAAAAATGACGTTTGCCCGATATTGAAAGAATACTAGTACATAGCCCAACAGTGGCCCAATATATAAATGGTGCCTGTTTTGGAGGGTAACATTTGAAATTGACACCCCAAGGAAAACCATTGTCAACCGACGCGTCAGCGGAGGTTGACAATGGTTTTCCGAGGGGTGTCAATTTCAAATGTTACCCTCCAAAACAGGCACCATTTATTTTATTATACTGAATGTCTTATTGATTTAGGACGTCAGCAAAAAAAACAAACGTCGATCGTCTTTACGTTCATGTATAGAAAGCTTTCACTCACCGGTTCACTAATCTCCTTATTGTTTGTTTGATACTCGAATTAGAGTCATTTATCATACAGTATAAAGTTTCGTTATTTCTGGCTCGCAAGCATGTTTCCTACACTCGCAAGCATGTATCGTCTGTGGTTTGTTGTTTTCAAGTAAGCTATATCGGACGCAAGCTTTTACTGACGTCAAGTTAATTCCGGTTCTTTCAAACGCGCAACTGACGTTTTGAGAATTCTACGGTGAACCGTACGCGCATAATTTCCACGCATGTGGCATTACCGTTGTGTTACCCGTTGTCACGTTTGTTGCTAAGGCTCAGGGTAATCGAACGGATTGTTAACTGCGTCTAAACCAATCAGATTGTAGTATTTAACATGAAAGTATAATAATATTAACTGTTACATTGGCCCAACAATAAGCCAACAAATTGGTTTGACTAAGGCCCAATGTTGAATACGGTGGCCCAACAAAGGTCCAATAACATCCTGCTATCTAGGTATCTATCGGCAAGCATTTGGGAAAAAAGTACGTAAATACCATTAAAACTTGAAAAGACTGTAATTTTGTCAAAATTCACAGAAGCGGAACGAATTCCAAACTAGATCTTAGGCTAATCAAGAAACACTCACATACCAAAATCACCTCAATATCTGCAAGCATTTAAAAATAGAATCAAAGTACTGAAAAGCGGTTAGCATGCTTTCATCGAATATGTACAGTGTACAATAACAAAAAATGCATTGAATCATGATATTAAAGTAGGCATGCATATCTTTTTCCAGTGTCATCAGCGAAGAAGCAGACACACTGAATTTTGTAGTACTTAACTAAATGGTATAACCAATAACATCCCAGACTGATGTCACAAATTTTTGTTTCAAAATATCAACCTGAGATTTTCAGTTTGAAAGACAGGAAGTTCAATTTCAAAAATTTCTCCCTAATTGTCTCCATTGGTGGCGTCCAAAAGTGCTCAGAACGAAAAAATAATTATGTTGATGTTGCAAATTTGATTGGCTTTCATGCTCTACTGATTCTGAAATTAGGTAACTGTAAAGGCTACTATTATAATAGCAAACAACTCAAAAAGAAAATAAAATGATAATTCAAATTCTTTAAATTAATTGATTTGGAGTACTGTACATAGATCTTTAGCTGGCTAGTCTGAGAAAAACGGATGGACGAGCAGAGAATTAATTAATTTCAGAGAGCTTCAGTTTCGTAGGCTCACTGCGGGTCAGCAGGTGTGACCTGTCATTGGGGATGCTTACTTCTCCTAGGCACCGGAACTTTCAAGGATCCGTTTTTCTTTTGAGACCGATCACTGTTCATTCTGTATTTTGATACAGATACTGAGTACATCTGTTTATTAATATTATGAACTATTTCTCTCACAGGAAGAAAGACAAGTAAACAAGATAATAAAGTTTTAAGAAATGTACATTATTGACTTTTCATACAATTAAATGTTCGAATAAGTAAATGGTATATGACAATTATTTAAAAAAGAGTCTTGCACGATATGTATAAACGAACATATACTGAGTATTTGGCAAATATTTTTCATGATATATTGTAAAAAAAAAAAAAAAAAAAAAAAAAAAAGAAAACGTGTGAAAAGGAAAGTTGTTGTTCAATCCATCAATACTAGTATTTTAAAAATTCAAAGGTTCACTAGAAGTCAGTGTATAACAAACAATTTAATTGTCCATTGCAAGAATTACCTAGGTATCATTGTCACGTTCTTCAATATGTCGCATAAGCAATACATTGTTTTTTTGTTTTTTTTTTTTTTAGTAAAAACAAGTATGCGAATTTCTAGCAATATGTCTGTAAGCATCTGTATTTTAATTTTTATTTTTTTTCTCAAAGGCTCAAAATGATAATTAACGAATTGGACAAATTCAAATTTAAAAAGTATTTTTACAACTTATACCTTGCATAGGAATTTAGCAAACTTTCAAAAATAATCATTCATTAGATATAATTTTCAATTTGTGCTTATCGTCAAGATTTTTCATGCCTCTTTTTTCTGTGCATATTTTATATCGGCTGATTTTTAGAAAAGGATCGAATGCCGATTAAATTTTTTTCTCCAATTTTTTAAAATCAATTTTAGTATGTTCATGATCAGGCTCCCATTATTTTTTTTTTTAAATAAAAATGTGATCGTTTAAAATCGTTTGTAATAATTAGACTGAGTACAGAATTTATCACTGGAAACAAAGCTTTTATCATCTTTTAAATAATTTCAACTGAGAAAAAAGGAGAAGAAAACAAACGTTTCATTATGGAAGTAATCCATAACTGTACAACTTACAGAT